GTTTAAACACAGATAACAAGAAAACTATTGGACCCTTTTAAGTAGCTCTTGAATGTCAGCCTCAGTGTCAATAGTGAGGAAGTTGCGGCTGTAGCGTTTGTAAGGTTCACCATCAGGACCAACAAGAAACTTCTCAAAATTCCAGGATACATCATTCCTTCTGACGGGACTCCAGATGATGGACTTGGGGTCATTCATGAGAGCCATAGGGTCATCAGACGGAAAAGGAAGCTTTTCTTTCAGATAGACAAACAAGGGATGGGCATCTTTACCATTCACATCCACCTTCTCAAGAAGCTGGAAGTTTGGCTCAAAACCATTTCCTGGACGGACATACTTCAGAGATCTCAATATTTCATCATTCTTGCAGTTCTCCTACAAAAACATAACACATTTTGAGTACATCAATTGACAACAGGATTTTTCAGCCTGATAACAGCATATGATCCATATTATTATCAAAAAAGTTCTCAAGAACAAAACTATCCCAACACTCTATATAAATACAAATTTTTATAAACAAGTATGTTACCATGTATTAAACACATTCACATAAACTGGTGCATACCACAATCAAGTGGTTAGAAATACAGGTTCACAGTGACTCAGCATAATTACACATAATCCTTGTGCACATCTTGTTTACTGCTCTGCTTTGATACATTTTATTTTCTTTTGAATGCTGACATATTTAATAAATTAGCATATTGCACAGTAGATTTTGCAACCCTGAGAAAGGAAAATAGCTGACTGCTTAATTTTGAAGATATTCGGATACAACAAAACAACTTTATTAGAGCCTACCTGGTGTCCAAACTGATTACAGGGTACACCCAGAATAACAAGTCCCTTCGGGCCGTAGCGGGAGTGGAGCTCGTTCATCTGAGTGTAGTCCCTGGTTGTTGTTCCTCAAAGAGACGCCACATTTTCAATCAGGACCGCTTTTCCTTTTAGTGCAGAGAAAGCCAAAGGTTTCTCCAGACAGCAATTTTGCTGTAATATCATAAAATCTCTTCACAGCACCCGCCATTACTGAAAACTTACTAATACTGAAAGAAAACTCACAAAAGAACTAAATAACTTTTAAACTCTCAGTCTTCTACCTTGAATGGGCGGGTCAATAAAATATGCCCGTCTTGATAAACTTGGACGTAACCATTTGAGATACGTATTAGGTATTTATTTACAACAATAAACATGTTTGAATGCTACACAATCCCCACGGCTTAAATGTAATTAAATTAGGTGTTTTTATATATTTTGGGGTAAAAGCAATAACCGAACCTAAAATAAAAAAACAAAAATGTGACCAAAAGTTTTCTTGGCGACTTGAGCCACCACGTTGCCCGGCTAAAATGGTACATTCCAGGAAGTTCTTTAATAAAGTCTTAACTACTTATTTTTCATGCTTAATATGGATTAATGTAACATAGTTTGACCTAATACTGCATTTTTTGCGTTATAATCAACAATCAAAACCATATAATAATCGATTTAGCGACAAATGCATCAAAACAAAAGTACACGGTGTTCAAAAATCAACGAGGTAGGAAATAGTGGTAGCTTACAATGCCAGACTGGCTGTATCTGTGTGCCATTGGCTTCGTATTTAGTGTTTTTATAATTGCTAGTTTCTTGATTTACTCGGGACTGCTTTCAGAAGTCGTAGTATTAACGGGATCCCCTCCAATAAAGAAGATCACCATTGTTTATAAGTTTATTCAAGGACCATACAAGAATTGCGGCCATGTTTTCAAGGAATCCCAGAGTATTGGGCCAACGCTGCCATGCATTGGAGTGTTTTATGACGATCCTAAAAAGGTAAACACCATAAACTCATGCCAACATGTAATTTTTGGAACTCATGGTTTCATTGTGAACGAAGTCATGTTATTCTGCTTATTAACCACTAGATGGCAGTAAAGCAATGTTTTGACGTGAGGGTTTCTAATTTGATTAAAAGAGTTATCAAGAAAATATTTCAGAGATCAGAGATGCATTTTTTTTTTCCATCCCCAGAAGGCATATCACCTTTTATGGGTCTTGTCAGGTAAAAAAAAAAAAAAAAAGCATCCCTCAACTCTGTGTTCTATGTAACTTTTTTCATATCAAAACACAGACAAAGGAGATGGGCAATCGAGGGCCATAAACTGGTGGTCAATACAGTGAATAATATTGTATATATATAAAATATCATGATGTAACTTGGCTTTGATTCCTTAATTTTTGTCACAACATTAATAATTTGATAATTTCAAAAGTGAAGTGTGATATATTGCTACAGAAATATTACTTTATTGAAGAACATGTCACAGTGTGATACTTGAGGATGAAGGATCATAATCTCTGTAAACCTTTTTTTTAAAGAAAGCATATTGTAAATAAAACAAACTGCAATAAATAGCTTGTTATGGATTTGTTAACTATTTCACCCTCAACATCTCAAATATTAATATTTTATTTAAATTATTAAAAGAAAGGGTTCAAAAACATTTAGCCGAAATTTGTCACAGATTGAAATTTAATTTAATTTGAATTTAAATTTAAATTAATATTATAGTAATTATTGTGACAGTTCTAACATGGCCTCATAATCTCATCATTCCCATACCCTCACATATGTATTGTATGTAGATGGATTCCAAACACTCAACCCAAGACTGAATCAAAAATTATCTGATTGAGTGTATCAGAAATTATCACTGGACATTTCCCTGTTTCACAGGAAAACTCCTTTGTTTCACTCATCTTTTCCCAGTCTGTAATTAGACCCAGGATTGGTTTTAGCCCAGTGAGTGGTCACAGCCAAGTGTGATCTAAGTTAAAGTAATTGGTGTAATGATCTCAGATCATTACTGTTGGGCCTCAGGATGCCATTGAGTTGCTTGAGTGTTAAGAGTTCCCATAAAGCGAGCATGGTCAGACTAAAGTAGCTGCTATTCAAAACACTGTCCATTAGTGCAGTAGGGGAAACTCTTGTGAAAATAAATTTCTTTTGCTTTAAGTCTACAGTCCTAGGGGCAGTTTGATATGGTGATAAAAATGTAATTGTGATCTAATTCTTGTGGGGTTTTTTTTGTTTTTTTTTCCTAAACTAGTTTCATCCTAATTTCATAACCTCACCATATTGCATCATAACGTATTATTCAACATTACATTTTTGGTCATAAATTCTAAAATGTATTGCTGTGCGATTAGTTACTTACTCTCATGTCAGGCATGTAAAGTAGTCTTTTTGCTGAAATAAGTTGTTAAATCTTACTTTATGTTCACCTCTTCTTCACTTTTCCCCCCATAACTACTTCCTCTGCAGAAACAAAAGACCTCAATGAAGACTTGACTTGGTCCTGAGTTGGTTGCCATGGATACGTGGCTAGAGCTCTCTTTGTCTCTCTTTGTTTTTCTCAAAGAGCAAAAACACTTCTCCAAATGTCTGCGTGTGGTTTCAAAGTGAAGGGATTCTCTGACCCATTGGGCCCCACTGCTCCTCCTCCACCTCCTGAAGTTTCTTTCTCTCTTCCTCTCACAGCAGCTCCAGTCTCAGATAGTGGTTGGTGGGTTTTAGGTGGGCTGCAGAGGTGGGTTGTCTTTTTGGTCGGTCTCCTCCTGTCACAGCCCCATGCAGCAGCGGGGTCACAGTTTACCTCCATGCTGAGACATGCTGACAAGTCAACATCTTCAGGGAGGCAAGGCTTTCTTTTTCTTTCCACCAAAGCCTATGATTTTAAGTATTTTCACAAATTTATATTTATAGGATCCACATATTATGGGAGACCAAAGTGATGCTGAGGGACATTTGTAAAATATTGCTGCTAAAGTTGTATACTTTTTTCTAGGCATTCCATAAAAAAATAAAAAAATAAATAAAATAATAATAATATATATCTATATATCTATCTATATCTATCTATCTCTCTCTCTCTCTCTCTCTCTCTCTCTCTCTCTCTCTCTCTCTCTCTCTCTCTCTATATCTATATATATATATATATATATATATATATATATATATATATATATATATATATATATATATATATATATATATATATATATGAAATCAAGCATTCTGTTAATGTGAGTTAATGTGACATAAACAGCCTCATAGAAAATATGCTGTCTTGAAAACTTCTTACAATTAAAATTACAATTTTTAGTTCTTTTTTTACTGCATTATGTAATTTTATTGTGAATAACATGAATAAACAGAATCATTAATCACCAAACTACACCACCGATATGAAACTTTTCATTGAATTATCAGAAGGCATCTAATGTGATGCAGTGTTGACCTTACAATATTTTAAGTTACACTCAATATCAATCTGGCATTTGCTGATTTAGCAAAAATATTTTTATTCCCTTAATCACATACAAATATTGATAAAAGAACATTTCATTATACTTTCATGAAGGTTTAGTTGAGTTTGGTTTTTGATTACAACTAATTTTTCTACGTGAAAGGACCTGTTGGAGCCATAACTGTAAACAATGCAGTGATTGAAACCTGAGACTGTTAAAGTGAAGTGCCAGAACAACTGCACAGGCTTATTACTCACTGTAAACACAAAGGGTAAATTTAACATTATATCAGATTTAATATACTCCTTTGTGGCTCTGTAAATGAGGATATTGGTGATTGTTTAGAATAAGAAATGTGGCCATGTTGACCACCACTAGAGCTCCAACAATTAATCTAAATAATTGTGGCAAAAAGTCATCTATTAAAATAATCATAACTGAGTGTTAATAATCATTATTGTTATCTGGACTACACAGATCTCTTAAACACACACATTTATTTATAATAATATGTTTTTTTTCTTTTTATAATACATATAAAGGCATTCATAAAAAATAAAAAAAATTCAGCTTTCAATGATTATACATTAACCTTTTATTTTTTATTTTTTTAATCACTGATTATCGAAATATTACTAAATAATACTAATATGAAATAATCCTTAGTTGTAGCCCTATTCATCACTTAGCTTCTTTGGACCACTGACCACTACAAGAAAGAAATATAGAGCTTTGTAGTTATGCTGAAATCCCTTAAACCTGTCCCTTGGTTTTGTTACTGTCACTTTGAGGACAAAATTGTGTACTTTCCACTAACTACATCCCACCCTTGTGTACAATGAAGCTCCATTATTCACTTCACCTGTCAGTGGTTTTATAGAGTTATGGCAGATTTACTTTTTTGGCTAGAAAGGCAGTTTAACATTCTTCACCACAGTTTTCATGACAAAGTTGCGCTATAGGACTTTATTTTTGACTCAAAATTAGGTTCTTTCACCTCTTTGTGAGCCAAGGGGGACTTCAAAAGGCAATACAGTGGTGCCTTGAAGAGCGCAGAGGAAAGCAAAACAAAGATGGTGAAGAGATTGTGGAGACATGGGCTATGCTTTTGGGCTGTTGCTTTGTTCAGCGGTCTCTGCTTGGACTCTGTGATGATTAATAAATCTATAGCAGGCTTTGACACCCGGCTGTGAATGGCCAAAAACACCCCAAAATATCCCCATGTGTCAAAACTTCCCCAGATGTACTTGAAATGACAAGATCATTCAGCTTTTCCTGTTTTATTTATCTGCTAGCCACTATATTGTTTCCTGAGACATACGTTTAATGCCATACTGTGAAACATTATAAGGTGGCGAACCATCCAACAGAAAAGTTACACAATGCATCTTTAATGTATGTTTTATCGTGCAAATAGACTGATAGTATAGCACTCACTCAGCACATTTTAACGCTACAACTACAATTTGTTATAGTTTGAAAAATATTTAAATAAAATAGTTGAACTGTTTTTGAAGCATGCATTTATGTTTGAAGGAACAAATTGGGCTGCTCTGTCTCATTTATTACATGAAGAAAGCTTGGTGCTCAGCTCAGCACAGTGGGGAGAGTGTCTCCAATGTCCCCGAAGTATTCATTTGTAAAAGAGTGTCTTCCCATTCCCGGTTTTAATGGGCACTGGGCTGTACAGGATGGAGGAAGCAGGAATAATGGCAGCGCTGCCAAATGTTCCAATTAGAGGCACAATTAATGAGTGGATTTCCTCTTAAATGGAGCAAATATAGTAGACATTTAAAACCTGCTAGGATCATATCTGAAATGCTAAGGGAATATCACTAATGAGAAGTTAACTGCCATAATATTATAGTCAATGCAGGATGTTGATGTGAAAGTTATTGAAAATTAGAAGCAGGTAGAGAGCACGACACTACCTTGACATTATTTTATAGATAAACATTGTCAGAATGTCTACATTGTTCAAGTTTTGCTGCAAATACCAAAATTACCCTATCAATGTAATGGTTTATAATAACTGTCTTTTTGTTAATTTATATCTGGGGTTGTGGGTTTTTGTAAAGCAAACAGAGTAATTAGTTTCTCACAACTTGAGCACCAGCTTGACAAACAGTAGGACAATATCAGCCAATGTGTCCTTGGGCAAGACTCACTTTTCTTCATGAATGTAATGAGTGATTGGTGCTGTTCGAGGGGCCTAATGGTGCAAACTTGCCAGTCTCACCCAGGGCAGCTGTAGCTCCAGGAGTAGCTTGTGCTGGGAATTAAATGACTGCAGATTTGACTACAGATTTGAGAAGCTTGTCATATGTCAGGTTAGATATAAATATAAGGCAATAAGGTAAGAAATACAAACATCATTAGACAGGAAAGCATACAGCATGACAAAAAGTCCCACTATGTCCTTACTTAATCTTTCAATATTTTGTGATTGGCAGTTATAAACCTCTCATTCATCTCCACTTGTTGTGCAGGTGCCGGGGCCCAGCTGTCGCTGTGCTGTCGGGAGCATTGTGAGTGAAGGAGAAAACAAAATCCCAGAGGATCTTCTACAGAAATATGAAACATCTGGATTCAGCGTCTTCTCCTTTCCAGAAGTTACACATGTGGTGACTACGTCTTTTCCCCATCGGACGTGTCTCTCCATCGTCCTGGGAGTCAGAAGAGTTTACCCACAACTAACGCAATACATCAAGGTAAGGATCTGTGGTTTGGAATGAAAATGATGTATGTTTTTGAACCATTCCTTTGTTTATGATTATTTATTCTTTGTAAACATCTTTGTGCTTGTTTTGATTTATATATTCATACACATATTCATGCACATTTATATTACAATTGTGTGTCAAAAATAAGTCCAAAGCTCCATTTTGATATCAATACAGTTCTGTCTTAAGTTATTTTATCTCATTTTAAAACATATCTGATTTGGCTCTGATCATACAGTATATTGTTAAAGGTACAATGTGTAAATTCTCTGGAATGGGGCATCTGTCACCATGAAGGTGTTTTTATTGCTCCAAAGTATCTTGTAAAACAAACAAAGCATTATTTCTGGTAACAGTGTCACCTCTCCACAGATCAGGCCTGTAACATTGTCTGGTGGAGTCAACTGTTGTTTCTATGGAAGTATACAATTTTGGGCAATACAAAAACATCTGTTCTCCATGAGACAAGCAGGTGACGAACTCTCCACTTATAAATAAACAGCTATCAGCTATCAGTAAAAAAACATACTTTATGTATTCAGTATTTTTTGCAGAAGTGCTTAAACCCCACATTTGGGTTTGTTTTACACGTGGGACTTTGGTAAAATGTGTTCTTGATGTTCTTGAGGCTCACAATGAGTAGTGTGTATTAACGTTTGATACACCCATGACCACGCAGTGAAGTGCAGAGGCGTGCAAAGATTGAACAGGCCAAAGTTTAGTGAAAAATATCTTCTTTGGTTTGGTGGAATATAAACTGGTGACTCAACTATACAGTGATGATGCAGGATTCATCATGGCTCAAAGGTGCTACAAATGTATCACATTTTCCTTTGCAATGTTTTTGTGCAATTTAGACTACTGAAGAAACAAGCATGTAGGTGTTGTATAGGAATAGATAGAAGCTGTTTACGTAGTAGTGTTTCTCAAGCTGTGGTACTGGTACATAGGGATTTACTGGTAGTGGTAGTATTTAACTTGTCTTTTTTAGTTATCTGGAATTTAGAACTTCATAACTTCATTCTGTATTATGTAAAACTAGAGCTAGTGGTGATAAGTTAAATGCCATTCTGCATGAGAACAAACAGGTAGTGGACCCTCAACGAGTAAAGTTACATAGTACCCTTTAAGTTATGCTTCCATTCTGTTATACGCCTGGTTTACACCTGTTGGATACTATATGAATTCTGTTGTAAGCTTTTACTATGCTAATGTGTTAAAACTCTCAAGACAAAAGCGCGTTTCATTCAGTTGGATTCATTTGCAGATGTTTTGATAATTTTTCACCCGTGAGTCAATAAATAAACCAGCAAGACAAGAGAGCACAATTTTCAGCTCTTGATGGTGAATGATCAGACTGAGTATAGCTACAGAGCTCAGGGGATCCTGGGAAAGTGAGTCTGCGTGATAAACGGCGATAGTGGATTTACTTTAATTATGCAGTGCTCCAGAGCAGGTGTTAGCTCCACAGGTTTCCCTCTCAGAGCTGGAGGAGATGTGGGCTTTGGTGCCTGTCTGCTGCCTCTGCCATCTGCCTAAACCTGCTATGGTCCTGGCTCCACTCCAGCAGCACTTAGCCCCAGAGAGGTCACCTCCGAGCAGGGAACAGGCCAGCAAGCTCTTCCACCACAAAACATACGGATTTTGAGTTATGTTTATGGATTTATGTTGGTTTTTGGTATGGAAATGTTGTGCAGATTTGAGATTTGAGAGTTGCATGCTCTAGTAGATGTACACCTGTTCAACTGCTAATTAACAGCAAAAGCCAATCAGCCAGTCAGATGGTAGAAACAGAGGGAAATGTTGTGTTTATGCAAGTACAAGTCACACTCTGTGTACGATTAGTTGTGAATATATATTACAAAGTGCTTCGCTACTTATGAAGTACATACTACATAGGCAAATGACATGGTTAGACATGATCTGTATTACAATTGTCATTTTCCAGTATATGTTAAGGATTATGTTCAGAGTGCACATTGTTAACTGCTCCCGGAGCATTACAATTTGAGTGAAGATTGAAATATAAACCAATAAACCAATTCAAGAATCCCATGAATTTCAGAGCAGGTTTGTAGAGGTCTAAAATACATGTACAACAAGATTTTTCTATTTGATCGCAATCAAAAATCATACCTGAAAAATGAGAAAAATTGTTTCTGAAGGATCTGAAAAAAGTTATCCAAAGGAGCGGTGCAAGAAACACAAATATTCATATCATTTAGCATTGTCAACATAAAGCTGGTCTAGTAAACATACACCTGTTCAACTGCTAATTAGCACCAAAAGCTAATTAGCAAGTCAGATGGTAGAAACAGAGGGAAAAGTCATCTTTATGCAAGCAAAAGTCACAGGTAGTATGCGATTAGTGGTAAATATATATTACAAAGTAGTTCAACGCAAGTAGTAAGTAGTAAGATACCTGAATATCTCTCCTTCTGCTTAATACTACAAAGGCCAATGACATAGCTCTGATATATTTGATAATGTTGAGGGCTGCACAATTTTGGGGGAAAATGCATCTGTATTGCAATAGCAATAACATTTTCAAGTACTGTATGTTCAGAAAGTTGGATTCTTTTCACATTGAGTGAAGTCTGAAAAATCTAATAAACTACTACAAGAATCAGATTAATTTCTGACTAGTTTTGTAAAGGTCAAAAGTACAGATACAACAAGATTTTTCTTTTAAAATACAGGGTATTTTGTTCTTTGCAGAGGATATTGTATTATCCAAATAATTGTAGCCTTTGCAATTCAGATTTGATTGTGATTTTGCAGCCTTAATGATACCATGCAATTTCTACTACTACTATGCTACTACTGGTGATATTTGTACTACAACTTTTAACACTAAAAACAGTATTAGTATCACTGTAAGTAAGTTATTTCAAAAAGTCAAATGTGAAATGTACAATCAATCTGAAAAAATGAAAGTGCAGAAAATGTTAAGATAAGAATTGTCAAACTGAGACAGAATGTACAGCCCACCAAACCACTGTAGTGTATATATATATATATATATATATATATATATATATATATATATATATATATATATATATATATATAGATATAATAGATAGATAGATAGATAGATAGATATAGATAGATAGATAGATATAGATATAGATATAGATATATATCCAGCATCTTAAATCCATAACTCAGTAGTATGGACCATGCATTTTGTTTGTATAGCAGAAATTATCAGTATCATTTTTAATGTTTGTTGTTTTTGTTTTATACTGCACACAAAATGAGCAGCCAAAGAAGGAGCTCAAGAGAATAGTGTTCCTGTCTCAAGCCACGAGAGGTTTTAAATCCTGTAGCCGTGTTTACACTTTTAAGTAAAAACATTGATTTTGCATTCACAGCTGTTTCCAGTATACATTTGCTCTGAGCACATAAAGCCCATTGGTGCTTCTTTGGTTTTATAAAGGCAGTGTAGTTTTGAATACAGCTGTGGTTTCTCAGATTTCAGGGCAGGAGGGGATGTGAGGATCCCCAGTGGTGTCAAGCTCTGGCATTTAAAAAGTTGAATCAGAATGTGGGAAAATTCAGCTCCTATATCTTTATTTTACATTAAAAGTACGTATCCATCTTTCTGGATCTGTAGAGATGAAAATATTTTTGTGAGAACTGCAGCACAGGTTGGACTGGGATTAGACCCCGACAACAGTGGAGGTGAATGATGGATTGTTTGTTGTTGTACAACTCCCCAAAACATCATCCATGATTAAATGTATAAAATAACTGATTACTATTGTTTCATTGTTTTCATGCATTTACTCTATAATTTTAATGTTGCAAGATCAGTAACCTGGTTTGTGCACTGTGTATTTTGAAACCCATCCACACAAGTGAATACAAATCACTAAAGGTCTTATATATGCAAAATCAACTCTTGTGAGATTTTAGCTATGTTAGAATGTTGTTACTTCTTCAAAAACATACCTGGAGTTGTGTTTTGTTTCATTCACATGCGTTTTGTTTCATTCAATCCTTTATTATTAGTCTCTCTATATCTCCAAAGCTCAAATGCTCTGTTTTACCTTTAGTTCAGTCGAGAATGGCAATTCCAGGGCTGAAATGATCCAAATGATTCTAGTGAAGGTGTATGGAGTTTAAAAACACAGCAGAGCTTTTCCTTTATTACCATGTCACAAGGTGGAACAGAGTGCTTTCTGTTTGAGGGAACACCACAGCCAGAATATGCAGGATTTGTTTAACATCTATGAATGAAACAAAACACAACTCTAAGTACGCTTTTGATGAGGAAACAATATTATAACATAGATCAGAAAATTGCAGAATATTGGGCATTTAATAGAAGTGTAACAAAAAGCTCATGTTGATACAGTTTTAGTATAAGCATGGTTAGTCAGAAAAGTTACACATTGCACTTTTAAGCATTAGCCATTTTCTATTTCCATGTTTTAGGATTAAATTATTTCAGTTGTTGTTGATTCTGAAAATTCTGTCGGTTATAATCACAATTAATTGGCTAAACATTGATCCTGGCACCTCTTGTGGTCAGAAGAAGTTATAATTGTGATACTTTCCACATATGCTGAATACCTGCCAGACTGTCCCATGAGCTGAGCCCTTTTCAGAGCCGCCCATGACAGTTTGCCATGCTCCTCTCGTCATCACTGAAGGATTTGTGTCTTTCCACAAACTTTAGACTGCTGCCCTGTGGCCCATCCTGATATTTGCCTTGTCTGACCATCGATTGGCCCAATCTTTTCACCTCCTCTCCCCTTTTTCCAATGCTGTCCTAAATGCAAATCAGGAAGTATCATGGGAGTTAACAAACCACAGACATTTGCGCATTGTATGGTACGGTGGCTGGTTTTGGACAATAATAAATTTGACATTTACATAGATTTAATGGACAGATGATGGAACATTTGTTTGCTTGAGGGCACAGAAAGTCTAGCCACATTGAGGCTTGAGGATGAATGTTAAGTGTTTTTCTATTGTTC